AAATGTAAAGAGTGTGGACAGACATATGGCCACACACTCGAACATTTCGTCTTTAGACTTAAAAAGTAGAACAAAACTTTGAAACAGGGGAAGGCCTCTTGCCGTCAGTTAAGGCAACAATTTCTTCAACCTCTTCCAGCCACACCTGCCTTGTGTGTCTGAACTAACTTCAACATCACCTCCAGCACTGATTGTCACCCAGGTAGCAGAACTCCTCGACACAATGAAGGTATATATTCCGTAAAACATACTTAGTGAACAACATGCTGCAGTCTGACATCTTGTTCCCCCCTTATATGCTCACTGCCTCGGAATATTATATTAGGAATCACAGAGTTTTGCCTGAATTAAAATATTTGAAGATTATGGAGTGTGTAATTATATGTTGTCGTTATTTGAAGTATTTTGTTTTGTCAGATATGATTATGTGTAGGGTTTCTTTATTTACTGGTAGGTCATTAAAAGGAGCAACCTTTACGGTTGTAACTTCTTTAAATTAACAATAAAATTTTCAACAAAATAATTACAAGAACATATGTATACATGGTATGCCAAGAGTCCTTCAAATTCAAATCTTCAAATTTGTTCTCTTCACCGAATCCGTCCACGCAGTTCACTACTCCCGATTTTCCTGTCCCTTCTGTCGCCGTTCCTCTAACCGTTACCTGCAATCGACACTGTCCCTTTCGTCGCCATCCAGCGACTCTGTCACTCCCCAATTTCCTCCGTCGCTCTTCATCGCCACCTTGCCTGCTGTCGCTACTGTATCTACTCTCCCTACAACTCCTCTCCAGTCCTCGCTTCAGCCAATACTACTTCACACTCAGCCGCCAGGGTCCACCGCTCTCTCATCCTGCTATCAGCCAGGGCATAAGCTAAATTAAAAATCAAGGGCTGTGCGCCACCTCCCCCACCTGCCCACCATACCTCCGTGTGTTGGAGTTGGCGCCAAATAAGCGGTAAACTACTGTTACGCCGTACACTGGCTATTCTTCCTGGAAGTTTAATAATCTCAGATTTCTTCTCTCGTAATTACTCGTTAAGTAATCTGTCTGTTATCTGTTAAATAATGGGTCATCCTTTTCTTGGTGCAAATTATTGAAGGTGGCTTCGGGTGAATGACTGAATGACGAATTGACCCACAATATGGTGTTGTAAACATAGTGACGTCACTTGTGTTGCAGTGTAGCAACACTGTTAACAATAGCAGGCGCTATTAGTAGTGATAATGTAGTAAAACAACAGCAGCATTACCTACCTACTGTTTAGTGTTGACCTACAGTACACAGGTAAGACTGAAGGTGTCTTGTTGTCGTAGCGTCAACCAGGTGAGTTGTGACCAGCACACACCTGAACTTGGGTCTTATATTCTCTCACCTCCGGCCCAGTTACTTACATCATCACAAACCAGTTCTGATGAACATGCCAGGAGGTTCTTGGAAAAGCAGCAACGTGACGTCAGTAAACACGGATATTACGATTCTTTTCCTTGTTTGTGTGGAAGCCCCTGATGGCTGCCCTTCCCACCCTTCTTAGGATTGGAGTTGATTGTGGGTTATGTAAAGGTGGTGGAGTATGTTGTAGTGGAGGGCTGGTGGAGTATGTTGTTGTGGAGGGCTGGTGGAGTATGTTGTTGTGGAAAGTGTTTTTTTTTTACCTGGAATAGCCCACTCTGGCACAGGTCATCGACCTACAATCGGGCATGGAGGGTGGTGGGAGGGGATATGAGTAAAAATAAATTAAAAATAGAAGAGAAAGTCTGTATTAATCTACACCACGAAGATGCCGGAAAACCAGCTTTTGAAGCGAGACATTGTATGAGCATGGAAACACAGAAGAAGGCAGAGCATTCCACAGTTTGGCTGTATGTTATTCTAGTGTGACCGACACCTACACAGAAACGGTGGGCACCGCGGGTAAGATGAGGGTTACGAGTCCACGGCCTTGCCAGCGGTACGCAGGATGTCAAATCCACCGAACAGTGCCGGCTAAAGTACCTGTAAGAGAGAGAGAGAGAGAGAGAGAGAGAGAGAGAGAGAGAGAGAGAGAGAGAGAGAGAGAGGTATCATTGCGTCGAAGAAAAAGTGAAGAAAGATTATCGACTAAAGGAGGAGAGTTAATAAGACGAAATGCCTTTGATTTCACTTTATCTAACAGTTAATGAAAAGAAGAGCCCTCCCCAAATATGAGAGCAGTACTCTAAGTTAGGACGAATGAATCCCTAATAAACTTGAAGCAACTGCTCAAGAGTAAAGTATGTGCGGCATCTGTACAGCATTCCCAGCTTTCGGGAGGCAGCTTTAGCAATGTTGAGGACGTGTGACCCATGACATATTAGAGTAAATGGTAAGGCCTAGCATATCTTTTAGAATTTGGCAGAGTGATTGCGTCCTGAAATGTGATTGGTAGAGAAAGAGCGAGAGATCAATCCCTCAACAACAACTGCCATGGTTAGGTTCTCAAGGAAGCTAGAAATTAGAGAACTAAGCGGGGGAGAGAAACCATAAGAGGGAAGTTTAGAAAGCAAAGACTTGTGCTAGGCCCTAACAAATGCTTTGGAAATGTCGAAGGTGGGATATGATATTATGGAAGGATGGTGGAGTATGTTGTGGAGGGATAGTGGTGTATGATGAGGAGGGATGGTTGAGTATATTGTTGTGGATGGATGGTGAAGTATGTTAGTGGATGGTTATTGTTGTGGATGAATGGTGGAGTATGTTTTTTATGGAGGGATGGTGAAATATGTTTTTGTGGAAGGACTGTGGAGTAAGCTATGAAGGGATTTTGGAGTAAGTTGTAGATGGATGGAGGATTATATTGTGGAGGGTGATGGATTATGTTGATTTGTGGACCGGCACCTTGTCGTGAAGCAGGACCACACTTTGGTCTTCCTTGTTTCTCCCAGATGGATAATGTTGTTCAGTTATCGCATTAGGGCTGCACTAGTGATCATTGTTTTATGTGCAAGGTGGTCAATCAACAGAATCCCTCTGGCATTGTAGAGAATAGAGACCAAGATCTTGTCTGCAGAAGGTTGACTTCTGTAAGGCTTTAGATGATTCTTTTGTATGGATTCCATCTTTGACTTGAGATCCCAGTGATGAAACCAGTTAATCATCTTCCTCACAAGACGGAAGAGGAAGTTGGTTGGTTCCGCTTAATACAGTTCGAAGATGCTCACTTTTGCCAAAATGTGTAATTTTGAGAGATTAAACCTTGAACTGACACTCCGAAGTATTTAATCGTAGCATTAGTGAAATTAACTGAAATTTATTCCCAAATATATAACTATGTGTTGTCCCTTCTAGTAATGTTTTAGCTCAGCATTGTAAAACCTGACGGTCACTCATGTACAGTAGTGTTCTGATGACGGTGAGGGTTGGATAATTATTGACGGGTAGGCAGGTAATGTTGGCGTGGAGGGGTGGTAGTATTGTTTTGGAGGGGTGGTAGTATCGTCTTGGAGGGGTGGTAGTATTGTTTTGGAGGGGTGGTAGTATCGTCTTGGAGGGGTGGTAGTATTGTTTTGGAGGGGTGGTAGTATCGTCTTGGAGGGGTGGTAGTATCGTCTTGGGGTGGTGGTAGTATTGTTTTGGAGGGGTGGTAGTATCGTCTTGGAGGGTTGGTAGTATCGTCTTGGAGGGGTGGTAGTATCGTCTTGGAGGGTTGGTAGTATTGTCTTGGAGGGGTAGTACTATTGTCTTGGAGGGGTAGTATTTTTGTCTTGGAGGGGTGGTCGTATTGTCTTGGATGGGTGGTCGTATTGTCTTGGAGGCGTGGCAGTGTCGTCTTGCAGTGGTGGTAGTGCTGTCTTGGAGGGATGGTCGTATCGTCATGGAGGGGTGGTCGTATCGTTCTTGGAGGGGTGGTCGTATTGTCTTGGATGGGTGGTCGTATTGTCTTGGATGGGTGGTCGTATTGTCTTGGAGTCGTGGTTATGTCGTCTTGGAGGGTGGTAGTATCGTCTTGGAGGAGTGGTAGTATCGTCTTGGAGGGTGGTAGTATTGTCTTCGAGGGTGGTAGTATCGTCTTGGACGTGGTAGTATCGTCTGGGAGGGGTGGTAGTATCGTCTGGGAGGGTGGTTGTATCGTCTTGGAGGGGTGGTAGTATCGTCTTGGTGGGGTGGTAGTATTGTCTTGGAGGGGTGGTAGTATCGTCTTGGAGGGGTGGTAGTATCGTCTTGGTGGGGTGGTAGTATTGTCTTGGAGGGTGGTAGTATCGTCTTGGAGGTGGTAGTATCTCTGGTGGGGTGGTAGTATTGTCTTGGAGGGGTGGGAGTATTGTCTTGGAGGGGTGGTAGTATCGTCTTGGAGGGGTGGTAGTATCGTCTGGGGGTGGTAGTATCGTCTGGGAGGGGTGGTAGTATCGTCTTGGAGGGGTGGTAGTATCGTCTGGGAGGGTGGATTGTATCGTCTTGGAGGGGTGGTAGTATCGTCTGGGAGGGGTGGTAGTATCGTCTGGGAGGTGTGGTAGTATCGTCTTGGAGGGGTGGTAGTATCGTCTGGGAAGGGTGGTAGTATCGTCTGGGAGGGGTGGTACTATTGTCTTGGAGGGGTGGTAGTATCGTCTTGGAGGGGTGCTGGTTTCATTTTGGAGGGGTGGTAGTATCGTCTGGGAAGGGTGGTAGTATCGTCTGGGAAGGGTGGTAGTATCGTCTGGGAAGGGTGGTAGTATCGTCTTGGAGGGGTGGTAGTATTGTCTTGGAGGGGTGGTAATATCGTCTTGGAGGGGTGGTAGTATCGTTTTGGAAGTGTGATTGAGAAATAATGGGAAGGTACCACCGTTGCAAGGAGTGGAAAATTAAATATTAAAGGGAGGAGAACGTTCATGTGTAATGCTTCAACAGTGTATTGATCTGTTGCTGACGCAACTTATTAGACCCAAAATAATATATAATTAGCAAGATTATAATCATGTCATGTGTGTTATGCAGGAAGAATTACAATAACAAAAAGTTAATATTGTTAAGACAACTGGAAGGAAGTACTGAAATACAGGGGAATAATGTATATTATATTAAGAAACGAAAGTGAATATTATTTTACAGTTTGTTTATATATTTCATAATTTCGAAACATTAGGGTTAGAATGTTACTGAGGCAGCCTTCACTGTCAGTCAGTACTTGGGGAACACTTGTAACTCACATACACAGTTGATCACATCACGACCACATTATAGGGGATATATTTTACATTATTATGGTCACGTAAACATAATAGTGGGCAGTGATAGTCAAGATATTACGGAGGTCTCTTTGTAGGTGCCTAAGTTATATTGGTGTTCTATAAGGGTGTACATTATGGTTTGGTGTGGGTTCATGGCTGCCTGTAGACGCCCATAAAGAGAATATTATGGGTATGGTTATCGTGGATGAAGAATAGAAAGGGGCGGTTACATATAATTCGGAAAGGAAGTATTTTAATGAAGAATCCCACTGTTGCAGCCGCAGCCTCTGAACCCTCCTCGTTTACTTCTATTACGGCCTTATGGATGGTCTCTTCCAATATAATTTGACGTGAAGGATCAAAGATGGACATGTCAGCAGAGTTACTGAAGATGTCTCGGATCCCTAGACGCTGGAGAGCCTGTCGGGAAGATTGGAATATTTTAACAAAGCATAAAGAAGTAGTGTTTCATAAGTTATGTAACTAGAAAAGTGAACTTCGCCGACTCGTTGTACGTAAAGTTTTGTTTATATTTTATGTGTTTCTTGTTGTTGAAACTTTATTCATGAAATATAATGAATTGCATTAATAGTTGAGGCATCTCGATAAAAAACAGGGTGAATTTTTACTTTCGGACATGAGTCCCTAGGGCTTGACCAATATGTTTTTCCAGTGTATTATGGTGTGTTTTAAACGAATCTGACTTTAATTTTTGGCTGAAATTGCTAGTTTTTGCCCTCTCCCCCCAACAATAATAGGGGAGAGCCTGAGAAATCGGTTTTTTTGGGTGGGGGAGAAAACGAAAACGAGTCACCTGACCTAACAAAACCTAACCTAAGTTCTAGCCGGGGTCTCCGCCCCCTGACCCCTAGTAGGCCTAACCTGATCCCTAGCCTGGGGCTCCACCCCGGACTCCCGGTAGGCCTAATTTAAACTAACCTTAATGTTTCAGTAGTTAAAAACTTTGGGGCGTGCCATGTTCGAATGTACAATACCTTGGTTTGAAGTGGAAGGACCAGGGATACGTAAGAATTGGATAGACTGATCGTCTTTCTTGTAAAAATTGGCAATAAACTTAAAATAATCGTAGGAGCACAACTGACAACCAACCTCCACCCCGGCCATTGGGAGACGGGTCAATGAAATTACCCAGGCTGCTGCCTTTGAAAAAAATGAAATGTGATTGGTCCAAAAAAATCGCGTGATGATATCGATAACTCATTGGTCATGACTGGATGACGTCAGTCAATATTGCGCATGCGTGATGCGCAGATAACATCTCACAGACGAAGACTGAAAAGTATTATCCATTTCCGCCATGTATATATGAGGTTCAAAATGCTCAGAATAGCGAGATCTAAATGTTTCAGGAGTTTATATCTTTAGGGGGCGCTATGTCCGAAAGTAAAATGATACCGGAAGTATGTTGGCTTGCGAAAATGAACACTGGTCACAGAATGTTTCCTTCGAGTTTTTTGGTCAAATTTTTTATTACGTTGAAATAACTCCAGTCAGTCTCTTGAAATATACTGAAGGTCATACCAGGTGTGTTATGTTATGTCAACTGGTAGGTCGTGACTTTCAAGGGAAATGGTATTAGGTGGGTTCAAGTTACTCCCTTATACATTTATGACCTAACAACTCGTAAAAATTACCGTCTAAGTCATTGTGTGAGGTATTACCAAACTCCTGGGTATTGTATTTAAGAAAGAAATTAAAAAAAAAAACATTGTCTTGGGGATATTAGTATGCTAGTACATTATATTATCCTCCATAAACGGTTCACATGGTACAAGATGGCACATTATTTATCCTTAAACTGAGAATTGTCTTCACTATTAGTTAAAACATTACCATCCATCACTTGAAACAGCAAAGAGCTGCAATCTTATTCCTTGGTTGGGAATATGCCCAGAGCCGGGTTATCAGTGAAATGTGGATACACTTTGAAAGCAACATATCAAAACGTTTCAGCAAGATAATAAACGCAAATGCCATAGATGTTGCGTGTGTATTTGAAAATATGTGCCTGTGGCCGGAAAGCTATGGACAGTAATTGTTAAAATTGCTTACTACTTGAAGATTCATACCGTGATCATATAAACCATATTGTTCCAATTATATTTATCTTAAACATATAAGCAACTCACCCCTTTAAGTTCTTTTTTGATTCTCTTTTCCATCTCGAACTTGGGGATCTTGATGACGACTTCTTGATTTGTCAGGGTGGCGAGGGCAGCTCTGAGAGTGTATGGGGTGAGGCGGGTCAGCATGGAGTCCAGGGGTGTTGTGGTGTTGTCGTCGGTCGCCGCAGAGTCAGGCAGCAGCACAAACATGGACGCGGCCTCTCCCTTGTACGGCAGCTCAAGCACTGTAGCACCCAGCTCACTTGATATTCCTGCAGCACCAGATAACGTAATTGTTATTTGCTTCACTACAGCAATAAATACACGTCTTCCTATACATAGTTATGATGTTATTGTACTTGTCCCGTCTTTCAGGACAACAGGAATGAGTAATTTTAGTATCATTTACTGTGTTACACTCATTACTTTTATCCACTTGAAATTTAAAACGGTGATGTCAGTTAACTCACCCCGACGTGCCTTACAGCAGCAACATGTAATGTTTATTTTCCTGCCCTGCTTCAGTACCGTTCATTACCTGTACGTTTAATACGAATTAGAATCACAGTTGCCTGCGGCTTAAACACTCGCCATGTTTCTCTAATTTGTAACATGAAGCCCTTGTCTCTTTCATTGTACAGTAATAAATGAATCCTAGTTCACTTAATTTATAATAAATAATCTAAGCGTCTCCCAAGAGCAGCCAATTCCCAGTTACCCCCAAATACCCAACACAATACACTTACTGCTCCTTATGTTATATGCAAGTTGTTATATTGATAAAATCTTAAAAAACTGAATAGTCTTAGACAACATGCATCAACAATGAGACAGCCATAATTCACGTCTTATTCATATGTTATACTTAGTCATGATAAAACCAGTTTATTCAAATGGTGGAGCGTTTATCATATGTGTAAGGACTTTAGCCCGATACCACTGGCTTAAATTATATAAAATTATGATTATTAATTTCTTGTTAAATGAAAGATGTCTCCCACGTTAACAAATATCGATTTTACGTGTGACGTCACGAACAATAATAATAAGGTTACCATAGGGACGCGGTCTAGATAGGTCCCTGCACAGATAGGTAGAGGCGTTTTCTTATTCCATGAATGGTGTTTTAGATGTAAAATTAAAGCAATGTAAAAAGTTAAATAAAAAAATTCGGGGTTCAGGTTTATCTGTTGGAATTCCTGAACGTTACCCATACTGAGTGAATTATTGACTGTCAAGACTGAATACATATGGTCTTGTGATCATGTGAAGGTCGTCTTGAGAAATTGAAATTGGTTTGATAATTTTACCACAAATTACTGAAAACTGGAATTTTCTGGTACCTACGCAATTTACACTAGAGTTGTCCAGTACTTGCATCAATCGCCATGTGTAGTGAATGGAAAGTATGCAAATTAGAGTCTTAACAAACGTGTGTACCCCAGCTCAGAAGAGGCGTGTTGTCGTGGTCAAGGCGTAGCAACGCCAAGATGAATTTACATTTATCTTTTTTTAGAATAAAGTTTCAACACTTATGTGATGCTTCACTGTTGGAACTAACTTATTATTGCACATGATTTTTAACCATGTACTGAACTATTATTTGGGCAGGTGATCGCCTCAACTATGGCGAGGAAGGAAACAATGGTGGACAAGCTTTATCTTGAGTCTAGACAAACATACCTACTTTAAAGTAATCGTTTAGATTCATCATGTCGACTAGTGTGTGTTGGTTTGGGGATGTGAAGAACTTATCCTTGGAGGTGAGGGAAGTCTTGAAGGGTGTGAGCCAGAGGCCCTTGAAGTAGGCCGCGTTAACCACCGCCATGACGGCGTTCTCAAGGTCCAGGGGGGTGACCACCTGCGTGATTTTGCTCCGTGTTGTCTCCGACACGAATTGGTTAATCTTGTTGGCTGCCTCGTTTACCTGGGAGAAGTTGAGCAGCTGGACCTCCTCAGAAAGGACGTGGTTCACACAGTCACGGAGGGGTAAATTTACGTCCACGTAGATTCGGTTGGCCAAATCGATCACATAGTCGCTGCTGTTGGCCTGTCGCTCTGCGTACCTGTGTGAGTTGCCGAACATACTATATATAAAATGCAGTTGTAAAGTGAGAGAATGAACTATCTTCCAAACTTAGCGGAAGTATGATGAACACAGTGAATGGTGTCATTGGCGACCCCTTCTAAGGTTCCACAGGCTTGCCAACTGTTTATGGGCTCCACACATGTGTCGAATGGCTCAACTGTTCTGTGATGTAATATTCGTCAAGTTCCCGGGAAGATGCTTCATTCGCTCACTGTTCACACCTTTCGATAAACAAGTACTTACGTGACTATGCATAAAGACAAATAGCTGTGGTTTATTGCGGTTTAAGTATGGGTCACTAAGGTACAGGTGTGGGTCATTAAGGTACAGGTGTGGGTCACTAAGGTACAGGTGTTGGTCATTAAGGTACAGGTGTGAATCACTAAGGTACAGGTGTTGGTCATTAAGGTACAGGTGTGGGTCACTAAGGTACAGGTGTGGGTCATTAAGGTACAGGTGTGGGTCACTAAGGTACAGGTGTGGGTCATTAAGGTACAGGTGTGGGTCACTAAGGTACAGGTGTGGGTCATTAAGGTACAGGTGTGGGTCACTAAGGTACAGGTGTGGGTCATTAAGGTACAGGTGTGGGTCACTAAGGTACAGGTGTTGGTCATTAAGGTACAGGTGTGGGTCACTAAGGTACAGGTGTGGATCACTAAGGTACAGGTGTTGGTCATTAATGTACAGGTGTTGGTCATTAAGGTACAGGTTTTGGTCATTAAGGTAAAAGTTTTGGTCATTAAGGTACAGGTGTTAGTCATTATGTTACAGGTGTGGGTCATTAAGGTACAGGTGTGGGGTCACTAAGGTACAGGTGTTGGTCATTAAGGTACAGGTGTGGATCACTAAGGTACAGGTGTTGGTCATTAATGTACAGGTGTTGGTCATTAATGTACAGGTGTTGGTCATTAAGGTACAGGTGTTAGTCATTATGGTACAGCTGTTGGTCACTAAGGTACAGGTGTTGGTCATTAAGGTACAGGTGTGGATCACTAAGGCACAGGTGTGGGTCATTAAGATACAGGTGAGGGTCATTTAGGTAGAGGTGTGGGTCAGTAAGGTACAGGTGTGTGTCAGTAAGACAGGTGTGTACTCACAGACGGTCCACGGCCTTGTAAGTGGCCAGGGTATCAGCTGGGTTCTTAAGGTTGAGAACCCGTTGCAGTTGCTCCCGGGTTCTGCCAGCCGACCCGAAGTAGGCCAAGACGAGGGCGTTCCAGATGCTGAAGGGGGAGAAGAAGAAGTTGCCCGTGGCGCTGCCGGGGACGTAGAGCTCCTTGAACAAACCCAAGCTGAAGGGGAGGATGTGGCCCAGGTCAGGGTGGAGTGGTGGGGACTGAGTATCGTTGGTGGTGATACACTGAGGGCTGACCACACCCACTAGCGTCAATAACAACACTGCCGACACAAAGTTTAACATTCTGTGGACGAGAAGAAGAGTGAAGCTGTTATTATCTGAACACTCATTATGTATTGTTTATAAAAAAAGTGTAATGCTACGACTACGACTACTTCTACTGTTAATATAACCATTACTACAACCAATTTGACTACTGCTAATAATGATATATGTAAGAAACTTTTCATTCTTGCAAGTCATTACATGGCTTATGATATCGGATGGATGAATCGGAGCAGATATTTTAATTGTTACCATTCAACAGTTAGTGGGTTATCCTCACTCTTAACAGAATACTAATCCACCGAGTGTTGTTTGATCACCATTCAGCGGCTATTGAGCCGCTAATCCACGGATTGGTTGTTTTACCATCAGCTGGTGTACCTAGTAGTGTGCACTCACTTTAGTGCAGAGTGTAACTCCAAGTGTACACAGAAGGATCTCAGTTTTCCACTCGTGTATGGAATCTAACCTGCGATAATTTTCTTGCCATGTGAATGCTCCGTCAAAAACCTGTTCCCATTAATATTTGTATCACAATATTTAAAGTAATTTAAGAACTCATCGCATGATAATGATAACAGAGAAACGAAGATCTAAGATGGAAAACAAGACGGTCTGGTTTATATCTTCATATACATTATAACGCAAGTGTTTTGCTGATATTAGATATGGTACGTAACACATCGTCATTGTTATTTTTTACGGTTATTTTCACAAGTTCATGGATTAGCCGTGATTACCTGATGGTAGTTCTCCAAGCTGCACGGTCTCTTGCAGCCTCTCGCACAGATTTGAACATTACTAAATGTAAAGAGTGTGGACAGACATTTGACCACACACTTGAATACTACGTCTCAGACAAAAAAAAAATTATTGAAGCTTATAGGGACAGATTCAAGCACATTATGTAAGCAGTGGCACAACACTTTATCTCTGATGAGAAGATGGCTGACACACTAAAGCTGTATCCACACCTCCCATCTAGTACCTCATCAAAATTCTATGTACCGAGTTAAACAATGTACTGGTAATACTCTGTAACTCTCAATGCCATAATATCTGGACCACTGGGGTCTGATAAATGCCCTTTGTGGTCCATTCTGTAATCCTTTTTGCTCTACCGTTCACAGGAAGGGGGCAATGAACTAGCTACTGTCCACGGCAAATATAAAAAGTTTTTGCATGTCAAGTTATTTCTCATGTTTTCACCCCTTGACGTTCTTGGCCTACTCATGACTCTCTTGTTACAGTTTGTTTCTACCAATCTCTTTACATGACGGGACTATCTCCTCCTACCTCTACATAATGAGGTACAGTATATTCTGCACAACACACTTAAATGAACAACGTCCTGCTGTCTGACATCTACTCCACAGTATCTCTTATGTCCCCCCTTCTACGCTCACTGCTCCGGAATATTACAGTATATAATAAATCACAGAGTTTTTCCAGAAGTACATACCTGAAAATTATGGCGTGTATAATTATATGATGTTGTTATTTGTACTATTTTGTTCTTAATCTCAGATTGTTTTGCTCGGTAATTCATCGTTATTAAGTAATCTGTCGTCTGTTAATTGTTAAATAATCGGTCTTACTTTTCTTGGTGGAAATTATTGATGGCAGCTTCGGTTGAATGACTGTGAATGAAACAGCTGTTGGTCAGGTCGAATTGACCCACAATATGGTGTTGTAAACATGGTGACGTCACTAGCCAAACTTCCGTTTATATGTGAGGATTATGTAGTTAACAAAAATGCAACAGGTATAGTCGTGTGGTTTTGCATTACAGTATAACACAACACATGGTAATACCAAGTGCCACATACTCCTTGTTTACCCCGAAACTAATTTACAGTCTCCGATCTGTATACTCAAAATAAATATTTGTCAGTGGACTCCGTAAACGAGTCTGTATTCGCGGCCGTATCTTACAGGACCTCCTTAGCCTCTGTAACACACTCAACCCTGATATAGGAAGTCGCTATTTCCCGATTATAATGAAGAAACTGTTTTGTATATCAACATACTAAAATACGATATTACAGTTTGTCTTTTTAGTTTATACTTTTTTTTACGAGAAGAAGAGGCTGGAGTGTGTTTATATTTGTCTTGGAATGGAAGAGACGCATCTTTTGTCGTCTTACAACTTTTCAAGTAATTTGTACAGGAAAGAGAAGATTTGTATTGTCCACATTTATGGTACAAATATATTTTATGACTGAGTAAACTTGCAGATAGACCTTATTAATGTGGTATAGTCGTACCTGTCCGTCAGTAATGAAAACCAAGTACGAGGTCAAGTGAAGATTTGTGCCTTGACTCCGCCTGTTTGGTATGGCTAGGACCAGGTTATAACAAGCTATTCTGCCAAGTATCCAAGAAATACCCATGACTCAGAGTTAAATAATACCTAACCCAATCTAAGTTCATCTATCCTAATAAAGAAGGGGTAAAAATTAAGTTCTTTAGAAAAATTAAAATTTCTTAAAAAAAAATACATTTGCACAGATGATAAACTTTTTATAATAATTTCTCCAACATTTCTATAAATCTGTTGATATATAAGCGTAACTTAGGAAGCCACTATTATGTATTATAACCTTTGATTATCTCTGCAAATGGATGATAAAAAGGAAAGGTTAGGTTAGGTTAGGTTCGGTAAATTTAGGTTAGTTTAGCTAAGGCTTATTTAAGTTAGGTAAGGTTAGGTTAGGTAAATATCAGGTAAAGGTTAGGTTAGGTAAAGATTAGGTGAGGCAAAAGTTATATTAGGTAAAGTTAGGTTAGGTTAGCTATGGTTAGGCTAGGGTAAGATACATTTCACTAATTTTGCTGAAAAAAAACAGAGCATGACTACTGATTGCATTAAACAAAAAAAACTATGAAAAAATAGGTTTTAGAATAAGAAAATGTGATGCCACTGTTATGCAGTTTTACCACCTCTCTCTCTCTCTGTATATATATATATATATATATATATATATATATATATATATATATATATATATATATATATATATATATCTTCACTAATGACGCTTGAATTATATCTAGCAACTGTTAGGCGCGTCGATCTCAGCTAATTTCTCCTTCTCTTGTGATTGGTTGATGATTTTGTTAACTGAGCCACGATTGGCCAACTTACTCATACGGTGCCATATACCTTCGTACGAGAGAACTGAATTTACAGTGTAAACACGAGAGTTACAGACTGCATACGGACTCAAAATTAAATTTTGTGTATGAGATAAATACGGGACTGTCAGCAGTCTGTAAGTTACAGTATCGTATCTCTGCTACTGTACGTAACTGATGAGGCGTTTTGAGTGTGCTGCTCCAGGCGTATGTAATCGTCTTGTGTTGCAGTATGGTAACACTGTTAACAATATCAGGCGCTATTAGTAGTGATTATGGAGTAAAACAACAGCAGCATTACCTCCCTACTGTTTAGTGTTGACCTACAGTACACAGGTAAGACTGAAGGTGCCTTGTTGTCGTAGCGTCAACCAGGTGAGTTGTGACCAGCACACACCTGAACTTGGGTCTTATATTCTCCCACCTCCGGCCCAGTTACTTACATCGTCACAAACCAGTTCTGATGAACATGCCAGTAGGCTCTTGAGTAACAACGTGACGTCAGTAAACACGGATATTACGATTCTTTTCCTAGTTTGTGTGGAAGCCCCTGATGGCTGCCCTTCCAACCCTTCTTGGGATTGGAGTTGATTGTGGGTTATGTAAAGGTGATGGAGTATGTTGTTGGAGGGCTGGTGGAGTATGTTGTTGTGGAGGGAGGGTGGAGTAGGTTGTTTGTGGATGGAGGGTGGAGTATGTTGTCGTGGAGGGCTGGTGGAGTATGGTGTTGTGGAGGGCTGGTGGAGTATGTTGGGGAGGGAGGGTGGAGTATGTTGTTGTGGAAGGAGGGTGGAGTATGTTGTTGTGGAGGGAGGGTGGAGTATGTTGTTGTGGAGGGAGGGTGGATTATGTTGTCGTGGAGGGCTGGTGGAGTATGTTGTCGTGGAGGGAGGGTGGAGTATGTTGTTGTGGAAGGAGGGTGGAGTATGTTGTCGTGGAGGGCTGGTGGAGTATGTTGTTGTGGAAGGAGGGTGGAGATGTTGTTGTGGAGGGAGGTGGGTATGTTGTTGTGGAGGGGGTGTTGTTGTGGAGGGAGGGTGGAGTATGTTGTTGTGGAGGGAGGGCGGAGTATGTTGTTGTGGAGTGATGGTGGAGTATGTTGTCATGGAGGGCTGGTGGAGTATGTTGTCGTGGAGGGAGGGTGGAGTATGTTGTTGTGGAGGGAGGGCGGAGTATGTTGTTGTGGAGGTGGAGTATGTTGTCATGGAGGGGTGGTGGAGTATGTGTGGAGGGTGGAGTATGTTGTTGTGGAGGGAGGGCGGAGTATGTTGTTGTGGAGTGATGGTGGAGTATGTTGTTGTGAAGGAGGGTGGAGTATGTTATTGTGGAGGGCTGGTGGAGTATGTTGTTGTGGAAGGAGGGTGAAGTATGTTATTGTGGAGGGCTGGTGGAGTATGTTGTTGTGGAAGTAGGGTGGAGTATGTTGTTGTGGAGAGCTGGTGGAGTATGTTGTTGTGGATGGAGGGTGAAGTATGTTATTGTGGAGTGTTTTTTTTTACGGGGTATAGCCCACCCTGATACAGGTCATCGACCCACATTCGGGTCGGGGGGGGGGGGGCGATTTTCTTTTGTAAATGTAAATTAGAAACAGAAGAGAAAGTCTGTATTAATCTCAGGGTTGCTATGATTTAAATCAAATGATTTAAATCACGTGATTTAAATCGATTTAAATCAGAGTAAAAAAATCATGATTCAAATCAAAATAAATGTTTTTACTAATAACTGTTTTCTCTTTTTATTCCACATGATTGAAACGTATATGCAATGCAGCAGGCTAATAACATTATTTGGATTTACATAATTATGTACTGTACTATAGTCTGTTCTCTCCAGTTTTGCGAAACTTTGATCATATCATAAGGTCTCATTATTAATGTATAT